TTTTTTTCATCGGACTGGCCAGCAGGTTCGAAAGTTTTAGGGTTTGTGGGGCACAACGGAAAGTGCTTCTGCCGTCGGTGTCGAAAGGAAGCAAAAAAAGTAGGCACGGCTGGGGGTAGCTACTGTGTCCCTTGTTCCGAAGCGTTGGGGAAGAAGGATAGGACACCTGTGGATTCTATTACTACTGCAAGTAGACGGATCAAATTGGAGTGCCCACAACCACGATCTCATTCTGAGATCGAATTGATCTGGAGGCGTTTAACATATCTCAAGCATAATGAGAGGCGAGGGGCAAAGACGGAACTTCAGCGCTATATAAAAATGACCGGAATCAAACGCAAACCGATCATGGCCAGGCTGAGTCTCGATTTTGTGCAGTCGGTACCTTATGACCCGATGCATCTTCTGCTATTAGGTTGGGTCAAGCACGTCATTTTGCTGTCATCTGGGATACACCCCAAGGCCAAACTATCACCATTGAATTATGGATCAACGGATATCTCACACATAAATGAATCTCTGAGAGATGGTGGAAATGGTATACCGGCAAGCTGGGGTCGCCCAACTCTGTCCATAGAACATTTGGAATATTTCAAGGCTGAGGACTTTAAGGCGTTTGAGCTATACTATGGGCAAATTTTGTTCTCCGCCTCACGCTGTTCGAAATAAATGCAAGAGCTTTGGACGAAGACAGCAAGGGTCTTGGAGATTGTGCTCGATCCAACACCACTAAAGCGAGACGTGACTGCGCTTCGCGATTTTGTAGAGCGCTTGCACGAACTTTTCTGTGACTTGTTCTATCAGGAAGATGCGCAATCGTTTTGTTTTACTCCAACAACCCACGCGATCTTGCATCTTCCTGATATGATGGAGGAGTGTGGTCCTCTTCTCAATGTCTCACAGTTTGTGGTCGAAAGATTTGTTGGCGAAACAGGTCCTCTTGTTAAATCCCGGACAAAGGCAGAGACGGACATGTTCAACAAGCATATGAAGCTTTTTTCTTTGAGACTGCTCAGAAGCCTCGTGACGGACAGTGAACAGCCAGAAGAAATGTCAGACTGTGAATACGGTAGTGATTCCGGTACTTTTACGGATTTCCAAAGTGGCCGCTGTAATACGAGCAATTGTGAGTACAAAGACAATGGTCGTATGCGAGGGAAAGGCAAAGTGGTTCGAGGGAAGGACAGACTCCGAGCATGTCTTTCCTACGTCGAGGATAAACTTCCCATTACAGCTTACGACGTGGATATAAGAACGCTTAAATCGTTCAAGCGTGCAGTGCTCGGCGGTCATAAAACGTCTTTTGTGGTTGAGACAGAGCAAGTGTTCCAAAACAGATGTAACAGAGGGGTCTACAAAACGCCAAGGCAGAAGTTTTGGGTCGCTGGGCATTTCATGAGACAAGCAGAATATGATTCACATGAAGAATCAAGCAAACCGTCTGTGACAGACGTTTATTACGGCTCGGTGAATGAGTTTTGGGAAATCTCATTCACATATCGCACGCCGTCAGAGCAGCTCAAAAGAGTAGGGCAGCTTGAAGCTGCGAGAGTTGACTGGAGGTACGATCTTAAGTTGGATGCAATGAGTAGAATACCGTTTACCAAACTTGGAAACGGTCGCAAGGGAACGATTCGGGAGAAGGTGAGGAGCGTGGAAGGCTTGTCATGTATCAACAGATTAATTGGGTACCTAGACCACGACGGCTTCAGGTATTTTATCGACCCAGAAATGAAACTCCTGCGAGCTGGTACGGATTTCATACTGCGCGGCATCAATTGAGTAATTTATTGGGCTGACCTGATGCCGCCGCCGCATTAGGGGCTGGGATGACGAGCGCGCCCAAGCTCATGTGGGACGCGAAGGCAACCTCCTCTTCTCCGCACGCAGGACACTGTAACTGGCCACTCAACTCGCACGCCTCTCATGGCTACCCTACTCCATCTACAGCACAATCCCATTGTGCACAATCTCACCACCTGCTCCCCACCTCCCAATCGCATAGTCTACAAGCGCCCATCAGAGTTCGAAATGGAGAGTGTCAGAGATGCTTTAGACCTGTCCAGACCCCTGGTGATGAATCATCCGGAATAAGGGTGAAAGGAAAATCCAGCTCACAAAAAGAGCGGGAAGTGACTTTCGTTTCAGAAATGCTTTGTTTGAAATGCGCCTATTTAACAACCCAACTTTCCCCTACAACAGGAACCACCAGCTACGAAAAGCCAATTCAACTTCAATAACCCAGAACAAAACAGTTCGAATTCTGCGATGCAGCAACGCAGCCGAGTTCGTCGTAAAGAGAAACCGTGTTGCAATGGACAAAGTGTTCAGAACAAGCAGGGTAATCAGGCCACCGTCGGGGAGCTCGAGATCAGATGCCTTCGTCTTCCCGGCAAGCAAGGCCGTCGAAATGGCTGATCTGGCTGTCAGTTGTCGACGCGGGAGGTATTCAACCGCATCTACGCTGAATGGAAGGGTACACCGTACGACAAGACGGAAAACCAGGCACCGCTGGATTCTGAAACTCACCGTGCAGCGTGTCGCCTCATTCGACAGACGCTATACGGGGCGCGCAGCGAGGACCCGAGAGTAACATTCTCTGGGTTTGCACTGAAAAAAGGTGTTGAAACTTGGAACAATATCCAAATATCTCATGCGTTGGATTTGGCAAATCTGAAGAAGACACTGGAGCGTCGCTTCAATGTCCTTGCGATGGCTGTGAACTACTGGGCTGCTGAGTGGCTTATCATGGAAGTACTACGACGTGACAAAGTCCGAAAAAAGTCAAGTGCTAATCTTTCTCATCAGATCTCTTCACAAAGTGGTACGGCATCGAGAATCCGCGATGATCTTCATCCAGAGAGAAACACAGTCCAGGGATCTCCTGACGCACCAATGAGCGATAGCGGGGGTGAAGATGAATCCGGCTACGAACAAGCTCCAGTGGCGCCCTGCGGGGACCTGCGCAGGAATGTGAAAAGGAAGCGTCCCAGCCCTGTATTCTCAAGCGAAGAGGACGAAGACGAGGAATACCTCACGGCTCTCCGAGTTATCGAGAAGCACAAGCGCCGAAAGCGTGAGGCCAGAAAAGCGATTGGAATTGAAATTCGAAGACTCTGCGTAGTGCATGTGTTAGTTCGCCTGTGCTACCTGGACAAAAATTTCTTTAGATGCAAACTAGCATGCATTAAAACAAGTTTTGATAACGTCCACGTATTGCGCATAATGGAATAGCGACGAACAGCGGCAGCGCAAGTGGGACTACACGAGGTGTGACCGACATAGGCTGTTGTGGATGGGTCTAGCGCATCGGGGGATGATGACGGGGGCGGTGGTGAGGGTGTCGGTATGTTGACCGGGGGTGCAGGTGGAGGACGGTATAGACGAAGGGCACATGTGAGGCGGGTCAGGGATGTGAGGACGTCGGCGAGCGGGGTGCGGACACGTGAAACATCGAGGTCGAGGCTGAACGCGTGACCCACGGCGACGCACGCGGGAGCCCAGCCTGCGTCCAGTGTGGTAGCATTGTGTAGAAACCGGCGCGCGACCTTGGTCTTCCCGCACGCCACTAGTATTAGCTGACGGCCATCCAGCTGACAGCCCTCTTCGGATTGCGGTCCACAAGCGAGTGGGCTTCTTGCAGACGATGAATAACGGCACCCGACTTGCGAAATTCGACGAGCAATGGCGAGATGAGGGAATGCACTCCGGCGGCACTCCGCATGAACTACGGCGGGGGGATGCTACTGCGGTGGCACTCGGCATGTGATACAACAGCACTGCACGTTTGACCCAGAGTTCCGCCCTGTTGTACCTACTGTTACATATACACTACGTAAATACTACGATGGCATTCCTAGTCCTCCGATCACACTGCGGGTAGCCTACGAACGCCTACAGTATGGTTGCTAGGGTTCCTGCCAGCTCAGCTACAGCCAACAGTCTTGCATCCTCGTCATCCGCGGTAACGAGGGTCTTTCGAGAGGTACTTATATCGCGCGCTACGCGTGGCTGTATCTCATACCTAAAAGAAATCAAAAAATCAAAAATATATAAATAAAATAAAAATAAAAAATAAATCTGATTGCGCTTCGATAGCGGGGACTCCCCGCGAACCGAAAACAGCAACGCCGAGGGGCTCAGTGAGCCCGCCGCATCCGGGGCTACCGTTCCTCTTACATATCGCAGTCCCTCCCACGGCTCTGCACTCCATCTCTCCGTACTTACCCCTCGCCCCGCCGCAATCCCGCACTAACCCGCCCGTTCCGAAGATGCCCTCCGCCACCGCTGACTCACCGCGCCTACTCTCGCAGCTCTCCGCCCCGCACAACACCTCACAAACATCTCTGAACTCCATCCTGCACACGCTTGCCACCGACTTGCTCGCCCCCACCGCCCGCATGCAGAATCGCTCTCTGTGCCGTCCGTCGTCCAGCCTCGCCCGCCAATGAAGTGGCTCTTCCTAGCAGCGACCCCAACTACTTCTACAAAGACGGCCTGTGGTGCTGTAGGCACCGCCACTAGTATCGATCGAACCCCCCCGCGACCCCCGAAAACAGCAACGCCATGCAGCCCGAAACACCAGCCCGTACCTTCCATGTTGCGTTTCACAGTCCCACAGTCCCTCCCGCATTTGTCCCCTCGGCTTCTACATCAAAAAGGTAAGCTCTTGTGACCGTCAACATCCCTCACCCAGCTCGCCGACAAACTTGGCATCTCCTTAACTGCTTCTATCTTCTTTGATATTACGAGGTGTATCTCCACGGGAGCTCTTCATATGAAAGGGTTTGTTTGTTATTCAGCTTCTGATTTGGTGTCTGCAACACCATCGATTCACGTCTTTCTAACAGCATCGATTGAATTCCTTCTTAGTCTCTCACTGCGCTACCGATCACAAACTCCCATATATTGGACTTGGCGAATTCCAAACTTTTCCTCATTCCGCTTCTACAGGTAAGACGTTTCAGTCCATTGCCATCTCTTTACCGCCTCGCTCCTTCATGTTTCTAATATTGCCATCACCGCAACCTTGTTTCTGTTCCCATTGCTCTATGCCCATTGGAATTAGCAGGCCAGCGCCACCACGGTATCACAGTCCGCAGCCGGTGGTCATGGCAAACCCACAGATGTGGCGGTAACAATGTGTCGCTTTGCCACGGCTGGAGATTCTTCATGAATTGCTCGGTTGCGCTTTGGGCCTCCCCATGGAATGACGAACTACAGAAATGGGTCCTTCAAGGTTCGTCGGAAGCGAGATCACAGACCTGTGTCCAATGCTAACTTTAACTTTCGTTTATGAGTCTATGTTTCGGCAAATGATTCCACAACGTGTTGGCCCCGATGTGCACTGGCACCTCCGTGATTTTGCAGTTGATTCATTCTGCTTTTTGTAAGGGGGCAAATCGGCACAGTCGGCTGCAGCAACGATGAGACAGGAGTGTGCACGCATGACCCACTGCCCTGTATTGCCTGGACGTGCACCTGTGGCACCCCCGTGAATACTTTTGCACTTTCCGCCTCCGCTGTGTATGTGTCTCTGTATAACAGGGGCGGGGCGGAGGCGTACGCGTTGTAAAGGTGTGGGTTTCGGCTTGGCAACGAAAATGCGGGGGGCGCGAGCGGGGTGCAGCAGCGGGCGGGGAAGGTGTGGCTGCCAAGCGACGCGGCGTGGCGCTGCGCGGCGAAAGGAGCAGGGGCGGGAGGTCCGGGCGGCGGAAGTGGGTGCAGGGGTAGAGAGACGATCCGGAACGGGAGCGGAAGGCGGGGGGAGGGGGAGCAAAGTGGAGGCGAGGGGCCGCAGGTGGAGATGAAGCGGGAGGGCGGTCAGCGGCGAGGCGTCGACGAGAGCGGAAGCGTGGCGTGGACGGGAGCGGAAGCGAGGCGGCGCCATGTATACGCCAATGCGGCGTTTCCAAGGCCTCACCCCCCGCCCTCCGCACTGGGCTCCATACGGCGGCGCAACGTAGGCTTCTGCGCCTTCTCCCCGCACCCGAAAGGCAGAATTAGGGAATTCGCGCGTGCAGAAAAAAGAGAAGGAACATGGGCAACACGAACAGAGGGCGGAGAAAGTTGGGAGAATGAAAGCAGACCACGAGCGCAATGCGAAAACCACGAAACGGGTACAGTAAGGGAGAAGGCAACGCCGCAAAAGAATTGTCCAGGGCGGCCCCTGGTGCCGGTTCCAGCACCAGCATTAAACAGTGACTGCAGCGGCTCTCTCGAATTGACACTTGGCATGTAAGTAGCTGGCACCATAGCCCGTTCTCTGGAGACACTTGGCGGCGTAATAGTGGCATGTGTAACCACTACACGTGTAGCGGAGAGTACTCTCAGTATGACACTTGTGCACACTTAAATGGCCTTAGCAGCCACTTGACGTCTGATACTTGGTCCAACCAGAGAACTAGATGTCAGATCCGAAAGGCATCGGTGGCACATCATTTAGAGCGAATATCGCGTAGATTATGCACATCATACGTTCGTCCAGCAACTATCTTGTGGATAGTGTCATCAGGAATAGAGACCACTGTGCTTACACAGTGGCCCTGTAATGCTATGTGACAGACTTGACTAAAAGGTCCAGCCGTCGTCTCCTTGAGTCGACGACGGCTAGGCGTCTTACTCTCACAGATCATAGGTTATGGACCCTCACCCATTCCACTGCTAGTCAAACAAGCCTTACTGCTTCTCACGCCCGCGTCCGAGCTTAGCTCCGCATAATCATCGCGTTTGAGCCTCGCTCCACATCATCACCATCATTATCGCGTTCGAGCTTCGCTCCGCCTCTTTTCCCCCTTTTTTCCCCCGTGCCCTAATCCCACACAAACCTTGGCGTGATCCTCTTTCACGCACACGAACCAACAATGCACCATCCTGTCCAGTTCAAGGACTTGAGCCCTCGCACGAAACGCCGGCACTAACGGGACACAACAGATATCTGGGGAGACCTTTGGCGACAAGTCACACAAACTCAAACGCTACAGTCTGCAATTCAAACCATGTCGAACATCCAGCCCGGACAACAACCAAGCCAGACCCAGTCCGGCAACACCCTGGAAGCCCTTATTGGACTTCTTGCCCCTGCGTGGAAATTCACAGAAACAATACCGCGCCTCAACCGACACACATTCCACGCTTGGAGATGTGCACTCAAGCTTGTCCTCCGTCAAAGAGATCTCGAAATCCTCCTCACAGACGAATTTAACCTGGCTAATTATGTCGGTGAGGAACACATTTTCTACTCCAAAGCTTCGGCAAGCTGCAACACCATGATAATGTCTAGCTTAGAACCAGAAGTACTACAAATCATTCCCGCAGATACATTCACCGACACCCCCGCTACAATCACCAACGCACTACGAGATGCACTCGTGTCCAACGAGGATCTCACACACCGCGTACTCAAATCTGAGGCAAAGGAGATCACTCTCGCCCAAGGCTCAAGCGTACAAGCGTTCGTCGAAAAGCATCGCACGCTGCGTGCGCGCATGATCGCAGCAAATTATCCAAAAATACAAGCAGAATCAACCACGGTCAATCTTATGCTTGACGGCCTTCAAGAAAACCCAGAGTTCTCTGCCCTAGTTCGTACAGCAAAATTCACCGGCGCACACTCGTCCATCAGTTCGTTGCACGCGTGTTTGCAGGACGTCGGTGACTTTGATGCCAAAAACTCCAACTTGGTCGGAGGCCCCATAGCTGGCTCATTCTCAATGGCTCCCGAAACACACAATCCCAGAATACATCGCGGGAGAGGCCGCGGACGCTACGGCAGACACCGGGGCAGCGACCGTTTTCCACGCTTCACTTTGGACCAGATCACTCAAATCGGGCAAGCGTTCAATTCAACAAACCAAAACCGTCCCCGACAACAATACCACAAAAGGGGCGGCAATCGACCTCATCGTGGGCGACAGCAGTCCCGCCGCACTACAGAAGCGCAAATCACTCAGACCACCCAACCCCTCCTGACCCCGGAGCAAATGCAACACCTGGCGCGTCAATTGGACAACGTCGGTCAAGAGCAGCAGCCCACACTCGACTGTACGCATCTTTTGGACTCCGGTGCACACCCCTCTCATATCAACCATTCTCTCCCGCACATGCGCAAACTTCGAAAGCCGCTAACCACAAATACGGCCACCTCATCTTCCTCGCGCACTACACATTCCGTGCAGCTTCGACTGACGACGAGCAAGATAACTGAGCTTGTACTCCCTGCCTTATACAACCCCGATCTGCGCACAAACCTTCTTTCTGTTCACGACATTGCCGTCCGCCACGGTACCGTGCTAATTCTACCCAACCAGGCAAACATACTCCACAAATATGACCACAACGTAGTCATCGGAGTGGCACCGTGGACAGGACGCGGCTACAGGTTAAAGCTCTCAGGCGGCACGCCTACCGCCTATGGCGCATGTACACGGCTTCTCCCCCACACTAAAAGAAATCGTTGACCTCCAAATACGGCACGAGCCACAAATCCCTCCAAGGGTCGTCTTTCTTCAGCAGCAACACAACCACAATCTCCTTCTCCCCACAAACCTGTACACTTAGCTACTGTACATACCCGGCATCGTTCGCCCACGGACATTGAGAGAGCATTTCACGAGTGGCACCTTGTGTTCAACCACATCCAGCTTCCCACAATCAGCGCCATGGCTCGTGAAAGGCTCCTGTCTCTACCGCATATCCTCACCAACAAGCCGCCCAAATTAAGCTGCACCGGCTGCGCCCACGGAAAGCGGAGACGACAACCCCACCATCGGACTCACCACACGTACGACATCGGCATTGCTCTGTCATCTGATGTCTGCGGCCCGATCACGCCTTCGTCCCTACAAGGCAACCAATACGTGATCATCTTTGTAGACACAGCATCCAGATACGCCTTCGCTTACTTCGCTCCAAACCGAACCCGCGTCCTTCCAGCTGTCGACACAGTCCTGCGCATTGTCACAAACACGCACGGCCGTCCCCCACGCCTTTTTACAACCGACAATGCCAGGGAATACATTTCTAAACCTGCCATGAACATCTACAACCAGGTGGGCATCACCCCTAACCCCACAATCCCTTACAACCCACAACAGAACTCAATTGCCGAGCGCACCCTCGGTACTCTCATGGCGGCGACACGCTCCACACTGTACCACAGTCAACTCCCACAGGTGTACTGGGAGTATGCCATGCGCGACGCAGTGTTTAAATACAACGTTACGCGCCACGCCTCAACCAAGCAACTCCCCTTCACAAAATGGTATGGACATCCACCGCCCCTCATCAACCTACACGCCTTTGGGTGAGTAGGTACTGTTCACGCCAAACGGGACTCAGCAAAGGTCAAAAAGCTAGACGCGCGTTCATACCCTGCAAGGTACCTATACGCCAACAGCCTCCGACACATAACAGTGCTCAACCTCACAACCGGAAAACCACACCGCACTCGCACCGTCGACTTTGTGCCATACATTCCACACCAAGACCCCGTTCGCACCTCCTTCCACAACCAACCCACCGCCCGCCGCTGCACAGCTCGCCACCACACTCCAACAAATATTGTTGCCACTACCCCAGCCCCAACTTCTCACAAGCAAGCAAAATGTTACCCCGATGCACAAAAGTGGGCGGCCGCGCATGATTTGGAACTCGAGAAACTCGATAACGCAAAAGTCGTCAGCTGGATACCAAACTACCGCCTTCCGAAACATGCCAAACTCATACCTCTCCTTATGAAATACAGATACAAACGAACACCATCCGGAATCTTGTTAGAACGGAAAGCCAGATGCACTGCGCGCGGTGACCGCATGGTCTCAAAAGTGCACTTCGATCCCGCCCATACCGCCGCACACACCGCTGATAAGGCTACAATTCGTCTGCTTCTCGCACTATCCGCTGCCCATGGCCTTCACTTGGACCATTTGGACATTAAATCTGCTTTTGTCCACGAGAAATACGGCTTTAAAAGGCCTGTATATCTTAGGCAACACCCTCGATTTGACGGCTCAATGGCTCACCCTGGCTCCAAAGCTGGGATCCTTATCAAGAATATATACGGAACCCCATCAGGGGGATTCTACTACCTTCGCGGTGCAGTGGAGTGGCTGGATCTAATTGGCTTCTCGCAGTCTCA